TGCTTTTCTTCTTCATAAACTTTCTAAGATTTCTAATTACAAAGGCAACCTCCACATCAGAATCTTCTTCTTCACTTGAAGAATCATCCTTCACTTTCTTCTTCTTTTCTTGACTTGAACCTTGACCATCATGTTGTTGAGTTGCTTTAAGGGCTGCACTCTTGTTGAATCCCATTGCATTAGGATTTTGATTGTGAGCATTGATTGCATCTTCATCTAGACATTCATGATGCTTAAGCTTTGAAAGAACTTCTTGAGGTGTCATCTCATCATAACCGGACCTTTCCATGATGACGGGCGCTAGCATGTTGTTCTTGGCTCTATAGGTTCTCAACATCTTTCTAGCAACTTTATTGTCATCCCATTCGTTGCTACCAAGAGCTCTTATGCGGTTGACCAATGCCATGAGCCTATCAAACATGGATTGCGTTGTTTCATTTTGCAAGAATACAAATCTTTCCAATTCACCATGAAGTAACTCTATGTTCCTTTTTCTTACACTTTTATCTCCTTCAAATGATACTTTCAAAGTATCCCAAATTTGCTTTGCACTTTTCATTCCATTCACTTTTCTAAACTCATCCAGAGCTAGGCTTGACACAAGCAATGCTACGTCTTGTGCATTTTGATGGAGATTGTGCACTTCTTCCGGAGTTATCTCTCTATCTTCATCGGTAGGAATCATCACACCAACATCCACAACTTCCCAAAGTCTTGCGGCTATGAGATGCATCTTCATCTTGTAATACCAATCGGTCTATCTTGTTCCATCAAAGTGAGGTGGCTTCCCAATGTTGATGGACGGAGTATGTAGTGTTGAACCTTTTATGAGTTGTCCATAGTCAAAGCCCATGTTTGAATATATTCCTTTTCCATGAGCATGCTCACCGGCTCCAATATCACTAGCGGCATCTTTGCTTGCTTCATTCTTGTTACTTGTATCATTTTTGCCACTTATTGCATCATCAACTTTCTTGCTCAATTCTTCCTTCATCTTACTCATCTCATCTTGCATCTTTTTCATTTCATCTTGAAATAGCTTGGCTTGAGCAGCCATCAACTCTTCAGCTATTTTCTTGGCCATCTCGGCGGCAACGGCTTGCATCTTGTCGGACTCCTACATTGTTCCTTCTCACGTGGTGAAACGCAAAGAGAAGACATGGGCTTTGATACCAATTGAAAGGATCTAACAATGTCTAGAGGGGGGTGAATAGGCGTATCTAAAAAATTACTGCAAATGCTAAGTTCAATTATTTCAGTCACTGTCGGAAGTCCTGACGTTTGGGTCGGAATTTTCGACGTTGTCAGAAGTTCCGACGTAAACGTCAGCAGTTCCGACTCCTACGTGAACTACAAAAGCAGTGCCAAATTTAACTTTGCGGATAAATACACTTACAACCTCACTCCCTAGTGATTTGGTGAAGATGTTGAGTCACTTCCTTGACGCTGTAATGCCTCCAAACAGTAGATCGAGTCCAAACCCTAAAATGGAAGTTTGGGAGAGAAAGAGACAAACACATACAAATAATCTCTAGAAATCACAACAACAAGCACACGGGACACAAAGATTTATTCTGAGGTTCGGCAACTCCACTAAGGAGCTCCTACGTCCTCGTTGTTGAGGTGACCACCAAGGTCGGAGTCTTTTCCACCTCCTTGCCTCTCTCAAAGCGACCACAAAGGTCACTTGAGCTTTCCACTAAGAAATCGAAGGGTGATACAAACTTCCCAAGGCTCTTCCATAAGATGAAAGCTCTAGGGCAATGCCTAGCCGGCTAGGGGCAAAGCCCCAAGAGTAATAGACGCAAAATCAACCAGCTTGACGAAGAAATCAAGCGCTCAAACTTTCCAAAGTGATGCTCTCACTTAATCCACTCTTCTTTCACTCAAACCCTAAGGGAATCGAAGATTGGAGCAAAGGGGGAAGGAGAGGGATGCTTTAGTTGCTTGGGAGCTGTTGAGCACGAAGTGAGTCAACTGTGAAATAAGTCCGTAACGGTTAGAAGTGAAGAGAGGAGTATTTATACTCCAAGAGACAATCTAACCGTTCAGATCTACGTCGGAATTTCCGACGTAGATCTTGGAACTTCCGACGATAACATGAAACACTGTTCACAACGGGTCAGAAGTCCGCGCGTGCAAGTCAGTGTCGGAACTATCGTCAAACGTCGGGACTTCCGACGGTCGGAACTTTCGACGAACGTCAGGACTTCCGACGTGCACAGACAGTCAATCAGTCAGAAGCATAGGTGCCGGGACTCTCAGCTCGGGACAGGACTTCCGACCATCGAAAGTTCCAACATACGTCGGGACTTCCGACGTCCACGATCCTCACAGCAGCTAAGTGGTCGGGAGTCGAAACTCACTGGCATAGGTCATGACTTCCGACTGTCGGGAGTTTTGGCTTACGTCGGGACTTCCGACATCGACAGTCACAGAAAATTATTCTATGTGCTCGTGAAGTGCTAGAGTGTCCCATTTTTTATTTTATTTTTATGGTTGAGCACTCTATCTTTCTCAGATCAAATAACTTTGCATCCCTCTTTATAGTACGGCGGATCCTAAACTCAAAATCAAAATTAAAACCTTTGGAGAGCGTTTTGAGTTCGTCCGTCTTTTCAACTTCAAGAATTGAGGGATAACATTTTATCTTTATCAACTCTTTGAATCTTTCATGGGACTAATAGCTACGACATATCTCATTAAGATCACATTAGTCCCTAATTTAGATGTCATCAATACACCAAAACCCACATAGAGAGGCAAATGCACTTTCAATAATAATTTATTTATTTTATAATTTACATAAATTTTTTAAATAAGACGAACGATCAAACATGATGTGTGAAAATAAAAAAGGTTACTCTTTTTGGACAGAGAGAATAGACTAAAGAAGATAGAGTCATCAATGTTCAAAGCCCGCTGGTGCTATGCAGCCTGCTTTTTGTAGGACCTTCAGTCTGTTCGTTTCGTAACGATAATGGATTATTTATTGTTGGCTGGTTTGATATAGAGAGAAAAATATTATTCCAACTTATAATCCATAATCGTATACGAGCAAATGAGGAGGCCGCTTGGCTCTCACTCCCACGTAATCTACGATGCTTTTTGCGAGCTTTAGGGCAGTTCCAATGGTGTATTGATGATAGTTTCTATCCTCATTAAATGACTTGTCATGTAGGCAACGCGGACGTGGCGTGGGGGCAGTAATTAATGAAGAAAGAGAGCAAAAGCCATAGAAATAGTTTCCGTCATGAAAAACACAGCCATTGCTCAGTTGACCCAATGCACCAAGAAACCATGAAATCGCCATTGGGGAGAAACCACCAGTTTTTTCATTTTCTCCATCATCAAATTCCATTGAGAAAAAAAAAATAAAGTTGGGAAAGAGAAAGAGAAAATAATTATTACTCATAGAAACCATGGGTTGGAAAGCAGTATTTTTTTGACGTGGTATTCTATGTTACGGAAACTACTAATTTCTTTCATTGGTAAGTGTCGTATATTGCATCTGAGCTGCTGCCCCGTACTTGCAACGCGGACGTGGCGTTGGGCAGTACTCAGCCTGGAGCGTTGGGAAGCCCTAACAAAAAAAAAAGTTCTCCGTCCCTGTAAAACACACTGCCATTGCTCAGTCAGACCCAGCACAGCGACACCAGGGCCTTGTTGAGATTACATCATTTTTCTTAGAAAAGGCCTAACATTACATTAAATTTTCTCAACATGTATGGAGTATTAAATGTAGATAAAAAAAACGTTAATTACATTTTTTTATTTGTTGTTACGAGAGGACAATCTTTTGATTCTGTCCTTTTAGACCACTACTAATTACGTCTCAAAATAATTATCAAATACAAACAAAAATTATTTTTTTTACTTGCTGATCAATACTATATTCCTTGAATATCAATTTTAAATAGTCATGGGAGGCATCTGCAGGCAGGACACCATCACCCAGGCCATGGCGGTGGACAAAGCCAAAACCGAAACAGCGCAGAAGAGACAGCAGATTCTCGCTACAACAGATGCCCAGCAGAGACCGGCGCAGCGTAGCGCGCCCCCTGTGCTAGTATTAATCATTCATCTTAGAAAAGGCCTAACATACGTCCCAAACTGATCTCGTAACATGTTGCCGTTTATAAAGTTGGCCCACATAATGTTCATTTTTATTTTTATTATTTGTTGTTGTTGTGAGGACACATAATGTTGATTCTGTCCTTTTTGTTGCTACTACTCCTTATGTCTCAAAATAAAAGACATTCTTATTTTTTAAGAAGTTATTTTTTTTAACTTTGATCAATTATATATAGATCGTTGAATATATTTTTATAATAAACTCATTTGAAGATATAAATGTTTCACGAATTTTCTACGAACCTTCTTGAAGGTAAGAAAGTTTGGCGTGCACGTGGTAAAGAAAACCAGAGAAGCATCTCCGAACTAGCATACGAGCGATGGTGACTCAAAGATGTCTTGTGGTGCACGGTGAAAGCCAGAAGCTGTCTTGTCGTGGACATAATCGGCAGAGTAGTGGACACAAGTCACACAAGCAGCGGCCTTGTGGTGGTTAAAGCCTAGATTAAAGCAAATCATTACGGCCGACGGCCTCGTATGCTTCTTTCGGCATGTGCAGTTTGACGTAACGGAAGCTCTCGCCTTCGCCGAACCAAATTCCAACTTTTCCTTGCAGATTTTGGTCATACATACGCCCTCCCAAGAAACCGATCCGAAGCGTTGAACCGTTGATGCATCGGCGAAGTTGCGCGTGCGGCGTGCCCATACCGGCAGATTTCGCCACCCTCATCTAGATAGCACACATCGTCTTGCTATAAAATGAGGCATCAGAGAAAGCTCCTGCAGCTCCACCAGAATTCAGAACCTAATTAACCTGTGTGTGAGTCCTCTGAACTTTTTCGCGGTCCTCCTGTTGCCTCCTTCAGTTCTTCCTTCGTTCTACTCCGAATTACCAAGCAGAAACCACGTCGCAGCGCTCGCAACCAATGGAGGAGGCCGTGGAGGACATCGTCATCGCCGGCGCGGGCCTCGCCGGCCTCGCCACGGCGCTCGGGTTACACAGGCAAGCACGCTAGCTACTCCGATTCCCTGCACAATTCAACAATCTGACCGACCGGTCTTGTAAGCATGCATGTATATGCCGAGCTGACGGACGGGCTGGTGGTCTCGTCTCTCGTGTCGTGCAGGAAGGGGGTGAGGTGCCTGGTGCTGGAATCGTCGCCGGCGCTGCGCGCGTCGGGGTTCGCGTTCACGACGTGGACCAACGCCTTCCGCGCCCTCGACGCCCTCGGCGTTGGGGACAAGATCCGGGAGCACCATCTGCTCCACGAGCGGTGAGCCAACAATCATATTCGTATCTTCCTTCGTTGCCGCTTCTAGCCTTCCTAGTTCTTTCTTTTTATTTTCAGCCTTCCTAGTTCCTAGTAGTATTGGTAGTGGTACTCTACTCTAGGTCCAGTAGCAGCCGTCAGTGTTCGTCGTCACTTGTCAGGAAGGTTTTAAATTTGCGGCTATAGCTGTTCGAGGTTGATCTATCTTAACAGGCTATAGCCTGTTATAGCACTATTTAGCCTCCGCTATAGCTGTTTTAAAGCCCGCTAAATACCTCTGGTCGTCGGTGGAGGTGGCAAAATGGCAACGAACCTGTGCTGTTCCTTTGTGGGATCTCCTGGGCTACACAACCTTGGGCTTTATTGAGCCGGACATAACCTTGGGCTTTATTGAGCCGGGCTACATAACATTACTACGAGTACAAGTCGAGCCCCATTTTCTTGGCAGCTCATTAACTAGCCCATTCCTGAAACTATAAATGGCAAGCCCACCTGCCCACTTCACTTGTCTTACTTTTCTTCTTTTTGACGATGACAGGATGATTGCCTTCTCTGCAGCTACTGGTGAAGCTGCTACAGAAGTAAGCTTAAAGATTCAGGGCAAAAGGTAATTAAAACTTCCAATCTGAGTATGCTTCACTCGGTTCTGTACTTCTGTGTGTGCATAATCTTACAACTACTACGAGCAGATAACTGACCAATTTCTGTACAATTTTACTGTGGCATTCGCATCACACCAGCGGGCCACAGGAAATCCGGTGCGTGAAGCGGGACTTCCTGCTGCAGACGCTCGCGAACGAGCTGCCCGAGGGCACCATCAGGTACTCGTCCAAGGTTGCGGCCATGGAGGAAGACGGCAGCGTGAAGACCCTGCACTTGGCAGATGGTTCCATCATAAAGGCCAAGGTCGTGATAGGGTGCGACGGCGTGAACTCGGTGGTGGCGAAATGGCTGGGCCTGCCGAAGCCGGTCCTCTCGGGCCGCTGGGCCATCAGGGGCCTCGCCGAGTACCCGGCGGGCCACGGCTTCGGCCCCGAGATCCTGCAGTTCATCGGCCACGGCTTGCGCTACGGCGTGCTGCCCTGCTCCGACACCTCCGTCTACTGGGGCTACACCTGGTGCCCTTCCCCGGCAGACGGGGACGCCGAGGAGAGCGTGGCCAAGATGCGGAGCCACGTGGTGGCCAAGCTGCGGGGCGCCAAGATCCCGGCGGAGGCGCTGGAGGTGATCGAGCGGAGCGAGATGAACGACGTGGCGTCGTCGCCGCTGCGGTTCCGGTCCCCGCTGGCGCTGGTCCGCGGCAGCATCAGCCGGGGCGGCGTGTGCGTGGCGGGCGACGCGCTGCACCCGATGACGCCGGAGCTCGGGCAGGGCGGGTGCGCCGCGCTCGAGGACGGCGTCGTCCTGGCCCGGTGCCTGGGTGAGGCCTTCGCCGTCGCCCGCTTCGGCAGCCACGACCAGGATCAGGAGGGGCGGGTCGTCAAGGCGGCGCTGGAGAAGTACGCGGAGGCGAGGCGGTGGCGCAGCATCCAGCTGATCACTGCCGCCTACGTCGTCGGCTTCATCCAGCAGAGCAACAACGCCGTGGTCAGGTTCGTCAGGGACAGGTTCCTGGCTGGACTGTTGGCCAAGACGCTAGTCGCCATGGCGGACTACGACTGTGGCACGCTATGATTCTGCCTGCCTCCATGAAATAAAATAAAAACGGTGAAGAATCACAAGCAGATTGCCCTTTGCCGTGCCAAGTGTGAAGAACCCTTGGTCTTTCGTCCCGTTTGTTTGGGCTTGTTTGGTTTATAAGTCATACTTTTTTTAAGTCGACGAACAGTATTTTTCTCTCACACCAAATCAGCCAATAATACTTTCAGTCCTGACTTATCAGCCAAACAAACACAAACGAACATGGCGTTTATCGTTAGCCGACAAAGAACATATGCATGCGTGCATCATGCATGGCGCCATGGCCTCGTCAGCGTTGATCCAACAATGGCTCTGCTGGCCTCTATGGGCCTCTGAGTCTCTGACCCAGGGAAAAATGGTTGCAAAAATCAGCTTGTAGGTACATTTCAACTTCACTTGACCGTACCGCAAAACTTGTCGCACGATTCATCATAGGCACAATGTGTCCCCGACAGAGAAGAGGTGACCTGGACATTCACGGTAGAGCTAGACTCAAGCAGATATTACTGTTAGAATTTAGTAAACCAGTCTGTACTTGCCCCGGCCAGTAGTTTCAAGAAAGATAGAGTTCATGGATAAATCTATTAATCTGGGATCACGTACCTAATAGAAATTGCTTGCTCTTGCTCTTTCTAATCTGTTCAAATTCTAGATATTTTTATCTATCCACTTGTAAGTTGTAATACACTTGAGAGGAAAAAAAAAGTAATGTACTCCCTAAGAACGTTTTATGGATAGCCCCTGAACTATTTTTTCTGCTCAATCTACCCCTCTGGAACTTTCAGTTAGTCCAATGTAATCTTTACTAATTAAGATTTGTCCTTCTGTTTCTCCATGCACAGTTGATTTTTAAGTTCAAAATTTGTAGGGGGGCAGAGAACATTGTAATTTATCTTAAAACGCATTATGAAATTTCATCATTATTTTTGATAGCTTAGATATCTAATAATGGCAAAATTATATGAAAAATAATAATGAAAATTCATCATAAGTTATGATATTCTCTATCACTACAAAAAATTTAAACTTAGAGCTCAACTTTGTACATGGAGAAATAAAAAAAAGACAAAATCTTATTAAGTGGTAGAATTGACCATTTAAAAGAACTGGAGGTGTAAATGCAACACAAGATTAGTTCGGAGGGTTATCTGGACATTTTTTGTGGTGTGTGTAGGGGGGTAATTTTTCTCTCCCAATACTTCTTTAGTTACCCAATTATTCTATATATTTTTTCCATCCCTAATATAGTTTTTCGCTTTTGCATCACACTTGCATATGTGTTTAAAATGCTTTTGCATCCCCAATACTTCTTTAGTTACCAAATGAGCCGGTCACATTGCACATGCCCTAAAGTGTATTGTCTTTATTATTTTTACTTAATTCTTTCGACAAAGAATCTATTATTTGTTTACTAGTCACTAAATTAAACGAGGATAATTTAGGGGACAAGGTTTCATTAGCTAGTAAGAGCATCTTCAGTATGGACCCTGTTTGACCTTACTCTATTCTTTCGTTTCAAACAAAAAATATATATAAATCCAATATGGTCCCAACTTAATTCCCTACTTTATGGAGCCCCAAATCTCCCCCCTCAGCCGCTCCATCTGATCTAAGGGGTGCGCAGGGAGCTCCCTACTTCTTCATGAGAATATTTTTCCCTGCACCAACTCACCCCTGCGTCTATTTTTTCATCTCGACTATCACCTGCGCTGGCGCTCTATTCCCCTCCCTTGGTGCAGCTCCCCCCAGCGAAGCGCCTTGACCCAGCGCACAGTCCCGTCTTTATCGGCGGGATCCATTCAATGTGTGCTCTTATCCTGCCGACGAGTGCTCGACACCCCCCTCCCCCGGCAACTCCCCTCCTCGTGCCTCAATGCTGCTCGCATGGCCGAATGACGAATATGTTTCATATGACAGTTTCGATTGGAATGATCCGAGGGCCCTGATTTAAGGGGGAGTAGATGCAAATAAAACAGAACCTCAAGAGTAAGGGAACCCTCAAATCAAAAGTTGGGGGCTTGATTTGAGGGTTCCTGATGGAGTTGCTCTAAGAAGCACTAAATTACTTAGGTCTTGTTTGGATCCATGGGACTAATAACTAGCTGACTAATTTTTGGCCCCTAAAGGATCCAAACAGATGGTCTAATCTTTAGAGGTATTCAATCTACAATACTTCAGTGCAAGAACATTTTCAGGAAGGAGAGTTTGCTCAAGTTACGCTAAGAGCAAAGTTAAAACATAAACCCTTCATTAGTCAATGGCTAGAAGCATATGTGCAATCTTGTTTATTTCCTTTGTAGCTTTCTTTGTTTCTTGAACTGGTTTGGGATGTATCCTCTTGTGTTTTAATAAATCTCCAGTAGGGGCCAATCCCTCCTGTTCTATAAAAAAACTGGCATAGAAGCCTATGAAGTGATGGTGCCAGATAGCAAGTGAATATGAGAAAAATACGAAGTACAATGGGAGAAAAGTAGTACCGTATAATAATAATGAAAAACTTTGGTAGCGGTTGCAACTTGAAGCTATAGTGAACGTGTACATAGTCTTTCTTTCCCTATATATTTTACTCTATATGTTCTAAATTATAGATGGTTCTGGCTTATCTAAACACATAGAGTTTACTGTATATGTACGAATTATAATTTGAAATGAAAGGAGTACCATGAATACGCACTGTCAGGTGAAAACTGCAAACAAAAGGAGTACAACACACCCTTTTCAAAGTACAAAAGTAGAGCCTGATTTGCAACCTGCGAGAGCGAGGGCCCTAAATGCTCTGTCGATCAACTTGCATAGCTCAATAGCTGCATGTGGTAAGCTGCATGTGGTAAACGCGCTGTGGATCTCCTAATCCCAATCCCAGCAGTCATCTCATGTCTCGTCAGACACACAAGCAACACACTGTTGATTGATGAATACGCTACGTCTGGTGCTCAAACACAGCACTCCTTTTGGTGTTTTCAAGGACCATGTCCGTGACAAGGAGGTGACACAAATATCCTGTTGTAGTTTGACGTGTCACAGTTCACATCTATGCCTGAATTCTGAAAACACTTGGCGGCTGCCTCGAACTCTCAAGATATCAAACTGAATTACTGAAAGGAAGTTCAATTCTCGTATGAAACGGGAAGAGTTCACCGTTTCGAAATGGAGCCTCAGATTTACAGCAATTAGTAAAGGAAAAAGTCCATATTATTCCTTCAAGTTTGGTATATGTCCAAATAACCCCCAAACTAACCTTTGATTCAATTTACTCCCTCGAACTATTTAAGTCAGTGCAACCAACACCTTAAAGAGATTTTTCTTTTTTGTTTCTCTTTGTACAAATTATATTTTAGTTTTAAATTTTGTGAGGTGATAAAGGACATTATGTTTTGTGTTAGAAAAATGCACTATGATTTTTTCATCATTATGTTTTATACGATATTGTATCTCTAGTGTTAATTTTATTATTAAATTTCCTAAACCATCAAAATAGTGGCAAAAGGTTAAGATATATTGTTCTAACATAACTTATGATGTTCTCTATCATATCACAAAAGTTGATATTAAGACTCAACTAATATGTAGAAAAACAAAAATAACAAATCATGATAAGGGGTAAACTAGACCAACTGAAATAGTTGGAGGGAGTAAATTGAACCAAATGTAAGTTATGGACTTATGCCAGATCTGAGGGGTTTTCATTAGTAAACAATACATCGACAGGTAGAACGAGGTAGGGTGTCATCAATTAGGTGATATATGGACTGACGACTCTATGTATCAGCGATTCTGAACACGTATCATCGCAACTCACGCCCTGTCTTGCCGGCCAAGCCCTGACGACGACGAGGAGCCACCGCCAGTGCCACCGCCTTGATGGCCGAAACCCCTCTGCCTCCCATTGCCATGTGATGCTGCTGATGTTGCTGCTGCTGTGGCGGCGGCGGCGGTGGCTGCTGCTGCTGTTGCGGCGAGCCGTACATGGGCTGCCCCATCATCATCATCATGCCGGCGGCGCCGGGCGCGCCGTACCCGGCGTACCCACCGGCATTGGCGGCGCCTCTGGGCACCTCGCCCTGCTGCTGCTGCTGGTGCTGCTGCGGGGCGGCGGAGCCTGAGGCGCCGGCGGACGCGGCGGCCCTCTCGCCCTCGATCTCGCGGAACTTGTGGAGGTAGTGCTTGAGCGGCTCGACGTAGTCCTCGAAGCCGAGCGTGGTCATGGCCCAGAGCAGGTCGTCGCCGTTGATGGTCTTGCGCTTCTCGCGCTGGCACTTGTCGGAGGCCTCCCCCGTGATGAAGGAGATGAACTCGGAGACGCACTCTTGCACCGTCTCCTTGGCGTCCTTGCTGATCTTGGCGTTGGCCGGCAGCGCCTTCTTCATGATCCGGCTCACGTTGGCGATCGGCAGGAACCGGTCCTGCTCCCGCGGCGACGACAGCTCGCCGCCCGCGTTGCTCGGCCCGCCGGAGTCGTTGTCCGAGTCCGGCATCGCTGGCTGGCCGAGCCTGCCGTCCCTCCCTGGATGCTGGAGCTCCCTCCTCCTCTAGTCCTCTACCTCAGCTCAAGGCCACCGAGGAAGCTGATGATGCTGATGGATGCATCACCAGGGACACCACCTGGGATGGATGCGAGAGGAGAACAGGAGCGACGAAAAGGAGGGAGGGAAATTTGGCGAGAGTGTGTTGACAAAGAGATTTGGATTTGAAGCTGGAGGAGAAGAGAAGAGCGAGCAAGAGCAATGGAGGGTTGTGGGGAATAGGCGGGTCCGTCGGATCGCGCGGATAAGAACGCATCCAGCTGTGAAGGTGGTGCGCCTCCCGCCGTTCGCTTGCTGATAAGTGTGTGCCACCTGGCGATTCCGCCTCCGTGGATGCGCGCCACGTAGGATCCATCCAGGCCGTCGCAGTGGGCCCGGGAACACGTGGGACGGCGCCTGGTCCGTGAGGTGCGCAAGTGGCCCGGTTTGCCACCTAGGACACTGCACTCAGTGCAGGTGAGACTTGAGAGCGCCCACCACCACCAGAAGATGAATCGAGGAAACAGGAAAGCACCAAAAAAAAAAAAAACCATTCGGGTTTCTGATGCAGATTGAATTATAAAGCTCAATTTACTACACAAGGTAATGTTTGTTGTTTGGAAACACGTCCTGCTCTGAATTTCTTGGTTCCAACATACAACAGGGTAACTGGATACACTATTCCAGTTTCCAGTAGTCTAGCGCTATACACATCAAGCTAGACCCGGCATAATTTACAACAAACAATCTGGCCATCTCTAGGTTCTAGCTGACTAACCTAACCATTCCTTCAGGCCAGACCTTACACTTCCCATGACTCATAATAAGCTACAGTATCATACAAGAGTTAGGGCATCAGTGACAATCTCTCACGTGGGACCCTACATCAACTCTCTTACAATCTACATAAGCGGGATCCTATTCGAACTCTCTTACAATCTACATCCATCTCATCACGCTGGGCTTCCTTCAGCTGTGCCATCGCTGTTGCCTTTCACATCAACATCAGTCTTTCCATTCTCGGCAGTACCATTCTTGCTTGAATTGGCACCATCAACTTTGGTGTTTTCATTGTGCTCAGCATCTTCAGCCTTATTATTGCTGCCACCGTCTGCTTGACTTTGTTCCGCATTTATATCGCTTTCTTTTGCTTCGCCGTCTCCATCACCATGGATTTCTACATTTGCACTGTTCTCATTAGGGTTAGCTTCATGAGCTTTGTCATCTTCTGTGTGTTCTACACGTTCATTATTTCCATGATTGACAGACTCTTCAGCTTCACAACAGTTGACAGCTTCTGCATTGCTATCAACATTCCCACTCTTGTTTTTTTCATTTCTACCATCTTCAGTGTCGTCTTCTCCATTGCTAGCGCCTTTCACATTGCCACCTTTTGACCCTTCTTGGGTTTCAACATCGTTGTTCTTCATCATCTCAGCCTCGACATTGTTTGAATCTTGTAGTTGTGAGGTACAATCACTGTTTGCAATGGGTGCAAGTGCAACCTTTTCACCATTGCCATCCTTAGTTATGTTTTTATTCTTTGCATCAGTGTCAGCTTTGTGGCCTTCTGAACCTTCAGCAGCATAACAGCTGTTTCTCTTGAAAGCAGACTCCACAGAAGCCCCACCACCAATACATGTTTTGTTAGTACTGTCATTTGCATTCTTTAGACTGCCTTTAGTGTTGCTATTTCGACCAGCTTGAAGTACATTTTGCCTGTTGATACCCGATTCAACTGTTTGAACTTGTGCCATCTCCTTGGCAGCTTGCTCAGCTCTAGCCTTCGCCTCTGCTGCTTCCGACTCTTCCAATTCCTTCTTCTCTGCCTCGTCTGCTAGCCTAAAGAGCTCCTCTTCTATAAGGCACCTTATTAGTGGTTTTCTCTCAAACAGATCCTTGCCAAAGTATTTGTCTGAAGATATGAAAGCAAGTCAGAAAGCTCAACCAGCTAAAAAGCAATGAACGTTCAGGCTTCATAGATGCCTTCACATCAAAACACGACCAAACATATCTGCAAGGATCAGATATAGAAGGCCTCTGGAAAGGTAAGCAATGACATACCGACTTCTTTTACAACATCTCCAAAGGTCATCTGAAAAAGGCGAACAGAAAAGAAACAGACAAATGTTAACTATAGGATGAATATCACAAAACAATTATTGTATCTTATAACTCAACAACACAATACGCAAGTTAAAGATAAATGATGTACAATGTATCTCACCGTGGCAAAGTCCGCGGTATCCAAGATAAGAAAGACAGCTTCCCTCAGCTCATCCTTACTTGGTTTGATTGCCTGTTTTCGAGGTTTTGTGTCTCCTTTAGACTCCTGTTTACCTTCAATGGAAAAAGAATACAGCGTTTTCAAAATGAGGAACTAGTGGTCATCCAACCTGTTAGAAGATCATTAAGCTTTCATAATCATGTAAGAAAAAAGATATCGTAGGAACACCTTCAAACAAAAAATACACAGTTTTTCCTTCTACCTCAGCAAAACTAGCTATTACTTGAAAGTTAAAACCGGTCTATAGTTAAAACCAATTCTGTTGAAGTTCTGTAGTCAATATAATATAAGTACTATCAACTACACAATCCTTTGTTAGGCAAGCACATAGATTACTGTATTTATGTTGCTCATGTGTTTCTTTCTCTAAAAAAAGTACTTTCCAGGCCATGCACTTGAATTTTTTCATACATTTGAATGTTCTTGATTTGTACAAGCTCTTTTACTCTAACCTAATAATTCATATCCATAAACATTTGATTATGAACCCCTGTATCAAACGAAGCACTTAAACTCCACTCTACATGAATGATCCTTTCTGGAATAAGTATACACCATATAAATCTCTTTGTAGTTATAGTAGTAGTTTAGTAAAGAACTTTTGCAGATTCTTCTGGGCTCTAAACATTGTTGTGACTTTGAAGGATGCTGTGGAACATGTTCTAGTTTCTTTGTTACCAATTCAGAAATAAAAAGATTAATTTACTACAGGTCTCTTAATAAAAAAATTGATCAAGAAGAGAGAAATTCCCTTGATCACCACACCATTAGTGCCTCTGCTATAGGTGCCTCGGTGGCTGGATAAAGTATAGGTGGTCAGTTACACCACCACATTATAAAGTTATCTAGGGTACCTTTTCCAGCCACAATAGCAATAAATCAATAAAAACCAGTCCAAGCAAATATTATTCATGGCGCATTACTGAATATTAAACATAGCTTTCTTTGTTTTAAGTGTTTTATCCACATGTAGATAAACAGCACATGCAGGCACAGGTTCATAAGTAGCAGCAAGTCATCCAGAAGCATACCACACAATTTGACTTTGCAATCTTCCTTAGGAGTTGCTTTTTTCTTGGTTATATAAGACATTTTCCTTTTTAAAGCCTTCACGTCAGTACCGTCACCCGCAGCAGCTGTAACAAACTTTGTAGGTGGTGTGATTATTATTACTTGTTCATCTGTAGGAATTGGCGCTTCGCTGAGTGATGCTCCATCTAAATTCTCTGACACAGAGTCATTTATCCTCTCAGAAGGCTCAAAGTTGGTCTGTTCATTTGGGAATCCATTCTTACTATCAGCACATGAATATTTGTTGTCCATCAAATCACAGTCAGAATGTTTTCCTCTATCCTCCACACCCTTCCTCTCGTCTGCTTCCTCTTCACCTTCTCGTTTCTTTTTCTGGGTAGTCCAAAATAAATAATTATATAAAGTAAAAGTAATTTATGCTAAGGAAAAGGCTGGAAGATTTTGCAGACCATGCTATATATAAAACCCTAATAATCATAATATCTTCAAATAAATTAGGAACTTTTGTGATGCTAAGGAAAAGGCTGGAAGCATACAAACATAATTCTAAACGAATGTGTAAAGACAGTTTACCTTTGAAGGTTTACCAGTAGACAAATTTTCATCTTCTTTTACACGCCTTCTTTTCTTGAATTTCTACAATAGACAAGACACATGAAAAAGAATTACAGCGCCAATGATGATAGGGCAGTAGCTTAAGTTACGAAGTTAAAACGACAACATCTGCTATCATTTCTAGATAAGTGTTCTAAAAAATTGTTATGGCCAAAGTAAGCTGCAGTTTAGGACCTTATCAGAGTTTATGCCATCACCAGAACAGTGATCCTTAATGAATTCCATCAGAAACAATACCAGTTCCTCCTGAAAAAGAAACAAAATTGTTTTGTAATGTGCACCATCAGGCAGGTGAGAATAGAAAATTCAAGTTTTAAGCAGGACCAACCTTCCTATTAGCTCTTGAGCCAATGACATCAAATGAACGACACAGTTCGATTAGCGTATCTCTTTTACAGCTCTTGAGCTTCTCCAGTAGCTCTGCCCGTGATTTTTCCTGTTATCAAGTCAATACCATCTCCAGTATCAAAGATGCTGTAACAAATAATAGACAAGAAAACACACTGATTCAGTACCGCCAAGCTGTTACCAAATCACAACATACCTCTTGATTGTGACAATCATGCTCAATGAGTTGGAGAATTTGCTCTCTTAAGTCAGTTACCTGGTACGGTTAACCAAACTAGGAGTTATTCCATAGGATTGAAGACAATCTACAACCATCTAACTCGATCCACATTTAGCAAACAAATATACTGCATGCTCAATTCCTAGATTTGGTTCAGTGCTACAATAAAGAAGCATATCCATCTAATTCACAGCTTCAGCATCTGTTTATACCATGCCAGTGAGAATCATTAAGACAGTGATTAGTTTTTACATGCTGAGGGAACAATTAGGTGCTTCCAGTGATGGCCCAAGCATCACTAATCTATCAATGCTTCAATAAGTGCAGAAAGTTGCATCAATACACCTATCAGTTAGCATGTCATGGGCACCTACTCAATGAATGAGCCAGACCTTGTTTCAGTGGCTGGTAAAGTTTCCTTCGCCTAAAAGACCAAACAATTAGCATGCATACATGAGGAACAAGCTAATGCGCCTTGTGGGAGTTGCTGGTCTATCTTTAACTTAATGTTTTTCATGCAATTACACAAATGCAGTACATTAACGAGATGTGAACGCCAAGGCCCTCCAAGGCCATGGAACTGAGCAGTCCATATAAATGGTTGAATCTGATTCAAATAAAGACAAACCACAGCCCACAAGTAAGGAAATTCAGCTTGACATCTCTGTACCAGCAAAAAACCCACCGATTCTTTCTCAACGAAGACCCAATTAGGCTGCTTCATCATCTTAGTCTCTGAAGCAACCTACAAAATGGCAAAGAAAACATAGCAACCATCAGGGGCGGACCAATAAAGGACATGAGTGTACACATGTACACACTATAATTTCTGCAAGGCAACCGAAGTTAGTAGCCATAATGCATGCATATACACCTGTAATTAGGTCAGATCCGAACACAAATAGTAAGATAGGGTTTGGGTGCACGGTTTCGCACAACTGGCAGGGAAGGAGGGCGTACCTGGTGGTGCTCGACGCCGGCGAAGGGGCCGAAGAAGACCTGGGCACCTGGCGGAGGCGGCAGCGACGGCCCCCCAGGCGTCCCCACGACAGAGAGAGAGAGCGCACGCTGTGGTGGTGATTGGAAGAAGAGAAGGCAGGTTGCGGGTCCGGGTAGGGCCTGCCTGAGTCGCCGTCGATCTGACTTGGCGCGCTGCCTGTCGTCTGCTCCGCCCGGCCGAAGCTCACCGTGCCGTCAATCCCGGATAAGGCTCGCCTAGGCCAGCTGCCGCTTGCTGCTCCAGCCTCCAGGCACCGTCGGAGCTCGGCCGTGCGCGGGCAAGGTCGGCCAGCGGCACGCTCGAGAGTCGAGACAGTGCGGAGGGGAGCGGACTGCGGGAGGAGACACCGGGGAAGGGGAGGGATAGTATTTAACTATTTACCGTTGGCACTCCACTTACGACTCGACCTTGTAGAATTGCCACGTAAACCGTTTTTTTTTTCGAAAACCCGCCACGTAAACCGTTAACATTGTACTACCTCTGAGTGAGAAAATGGAATTTTGCCCTCATGGCAAGTGGTTTTCGCTAAAATACCATCGAGTTTGTAGGCTTCGCTGGAATATTTCCATGAAACGGGTGTACAACGCTAATATGCTATTTCACGATTTTAAATAACTTTAAAAAAATTTCAGCCCAAAAATTTTACCTGCTCTGACCGTTTGACCCCTGCCTCCATTACCTTATCCCCTCGTCCTCTTTGTCTCCATCACAAACCGAAGTCTCTCCGTCTCTGTCTCACCCAGCGCGGAGATCTCTCGGCCGGGAGCACGACGCCGGCGGCCGCCGCCCCCGGGCCGCTCCTCCCTAGGCGCGCCCTCTACCCATGCGCCCACTCCCCCATGGCTCCCTGCTCGCTGCCCCAAGGGAGCAAAGAAGACGCGGCGTGGTCGCCAAGGAGGCGTGGCGTGCACATGGCCACAGCCCGCCGCTCCCGCGCTTCTCACTCGTGGCCTCCCATGCGGCCACAAGCCGCTTCCCGTCGTTGTTGTCCGCGTCCATCACCTTGCTCACCACGTCGTCCTCTAGCGGGTCAACCGGCGCTGCTAGCGGTTCCGTATCTCCTTGACCATCCTCCTCCACGGTGCCTCTTCCTTGGCCTCGTCCTCCGCCGTGGTGATCTTCGAGGCTGACCCGTACGACGACGTGGACGCCGGGGACGAGTAGAACGAGTTCGATGTGCTCGCGGCCATCACGGTCGCATGCCTTGCAGTGGTCCTCATGGACTTGGCGGCCGCCGGAGGCATAGTGCGCAGCACGGCCTGCCGCGCCGCCTCGACAGACGGCGGCGCAAGTGCCGTCGTGCCGATGGCCGCCTTGAGCACGGAGTTAGGGATGAGGGTGTCCGCACCCCCTGCCTCGACGCTCGAGGTCAGAAATGCGAGCTCCGCGCAGAGCTCGGCGGCGCAGCTTGGGGCGTGCTCCCGACCAGTGAGAGAAGAGAGACGGGAAATACGAGATAGAGGTACCGTCCGTGACAAGAAGAGAGAACGAGAAGATAAGGTTGATGGAGGTAAGGGTAAAACGGTCAAAGCAAGTGCAAATTTGGGCTGAAAAGATTTCCAAAATTTTGAAAATCATGAAATGGCAAAATAGCGTTGAGTACATATTTCATAAAGGCATTCTAGCGAAGCCCACAAACTTGATGGCATTTTAGCAAAACCCACTTGAGATGAGGACAAAATTCCCATTTTCTCCCTCCGAATCCTTAAAAAGATGCACCTGCACTCTCAGGTTATTCAAAGTTTTACTAAATATATATATATATATATATATAGATAAAATATTAATGCTTTTTAACACTAATAAATACACTATAAAATTATATCTCACGGCAAATCTAAAAAGTGGCGAATCCAGCTTGAGAAATGACCTAGGGCGGACTCATACTCTAAAATTTTAGCTACCAACGATAATTTTCATGTTTTGGGCAAAAATTTAGAACAATCAACAAGAATCAAGATGTTACCTTATAATAATGGAATTATCAATGATAGATGTTAGACAAATGAAGTAAGGAACCGATCATTTCCAACTTTGGCCCTGTTCGCTTGAACTTATCAGCCATGGTACAGTGTTTTTCTCTCACAACAAATCAGCGAACAGTACTTTTCAGCCTAGCTTTTCAGCGAAACGAACAGGGCCGCTTCTTTAACTCCACCACCCACAACGGCTTCATCTGCTCCCCCATCCATCACCAAAATTACCAAATGACCAAAACCAAATGACCAAAATCCAAAATCCCAGCAGTAGCAGCCCTGCAGGCAGAGGCAGGAGCCTGACTACCTGAGGGTCGGCCGGTTGGGGCTAGCCTCCTAGCTAGCGGCCAAGCGCCAGCGGTTGCCGACTGGGGCCTAGGGAAGAGGCGGCGCCGCAGCAACCACCTGGGTCATGGGAGCTTTAGCTGCTCGCTACTAGCCAGCGACGAGCGGCAGTGGCTTGGGCGGCTAGGTGGGGCATGCAGCGAGGCACCGCAGTGGAGGCGGCCGGCGATGAGCGACGAGGAAGGCAGAGCCACGGAGGCGATGAGTAGAGCGGGGAGTCTCGCAGTCGAGCGAGCGACGTACGGCGCACCCTAACTGCACACAGGCCACCTAAACTACTGTCGGGCCAAGGCTAGGCCAATGTGTGTGTGACCGCGGCCCATGATGCATGACACCGCCCTCTGCCCTCTACCTCTCCCTCGCAGAAAGAAAAAGCACCACGTCGCGCGCCACGATTCCGCCGTCTTCTGTTCGGACTCCGGCGGCCTCCAGGGGTGGGTATATGGTGCCCGGACCAAGGGGACCTAGGGTGGATGCCCTAGCTCGCCCTAGTGGTGGCTCTGCCTCTAGATCTAATAATTTATTTGATGTTCTAAATATTTATGTTTTCGGTAATGCTCCTATCAGGGTGTCAGTTCGGACCCGCCTCGCGTCGTGCACCCCTACGCCTCGTGCCTCGCACGATCACACAGGACCCACTTCACGCTATGTGCCGCACACCCCGCCCATGACTGCGAAGTTTGCACCTTGTGCCGCGCGTCGCTTGCGCCGCATCAACTAGCCTCCATTGGGTGACAGCAAATAAATGAGCACATGTTGCAATCGTATGTTTCATGCGTTTCAGATATGTGTTGCATATGTTTCATTAGGATGTTGCAAAAGTAGATCTGGTGTTGCATATGTTGCAATGGTTATACCCGTATGTTTTAAATGTTTTAGTTGTTTAAAACGTATGTTGCAAGTGTTTTATCTAGATATTGCATATGTTGTAGTGGCTATACATGTATGCTGCAAGTGTATATTCTAAAGTTTCACCTGTTTCATACTAATGTTGCAAAAGTGTTTTATCTGTATGTTGCATATTGTCGGTATTTTGTAAACCGGACTAGTAAATTTATACGATTATCGCGCTGCTCTAGGAAGACGATGGTTGCATCCAAAAGATAGGAGGATTTATGCTAGTTCAGGCTGGAGCCCTACGTCCAGTCTCAGCGATGATCGAGTGCGTGTTTCTCACTTGAATGCTCTAAAGTTCTTACAATGGGGAGTGCAAGAATGGTAGACGAGATAGGAGATTGTCCGAAGGAAAGCTTTAGGAGCCCTTCTATGGTGTAAGAATGAGTGAATAAAAGATGGATCCCCATAATGGTGCCCTGGCTGCCCTTATATAGAGTTCGGGGCTAGAGCGTATACAAGGAAGAAGGATCTCCCGACCGAAGGGTCTTGTGCCTAACGGAGGTCCTAGATAACTTGGCTTGCAAGCTATGCCATCTTGTGGAGTACGTCTAGGCGTGGTTGTCGTCATGGTCTTGTTGCCACATCATGACATGGTGTGACATGGTGCTACTGTGCCAGTTGTTGTGGCACTATAGGCACGGTGGTGGTTCGCCAGCCGTCCTACGCGACGTGGTCCTCGTCGTGGTCTTTGTCATCACCTCCTGGTTTCTGGGGGCGTCGTACAGGAGTTGGTAGCCGCTCCTGGGTCGTCGATTGCCTTGTTAGTTTGAGGAGCTAAGGGCCACGATCCTAATTGTTGGGGTCATGGCTCCCGCCAGGTTGGACGGCTTCTAAGTCAAGGCCTTCGTCGTGGATCCCATCCCATGGTGGGTAGAATCATACATGCATCTTGTCGACCGTATTTGGACAGTAGATCACCGTACCAGTTATCATCGCCGTGTGGTGTTGTCTTGTCTGCACTGCATGGCATAGGGATGGCATCTGATTGGACCGAGGTGACTGCTGTCCCTTCGGTCCTTGTGGGGTTAGAGTAGCGTGCCTGTCCTTGTCAGAGCGGGCGTGCCTGGCTATGCACGACCTCTCCCCATTCCTCCCAGGGGTCGGGATGGTGGAGAGGTCGTGCATCTTCTTATGTGCTATGCGGCTAAGTCTGATGAAGGGGTCGTGGCCAGCCTCCGCCTTAGCGCTTGGCCTAGTTTTCTTAGATCGGCTAGGCCTCGGTCGTTCGGGCCTTTACTAGCTAATATATTGTGGGCCGCGTGGCCCACTGACTAATTGGTGCCTTGAGACACCTCGGGGTTATAACCCTGGCAGTAGCCCCTGAGTGTTTTTGCGTTCATAAAGTGATCACGAAAGCGCTGAGATGTCTATTGCTATCGAATGCGGGTTCATAGTTCGTGGCTTGTTCGAGCTTCATTGCTCGACCCCTTGTGGGCTGGTGCATTTAATGTGGTAGGTGGTCATTGTGCTCAGCCCCGTCTGGATGCCCTAGAGTTGTGGTACATGACCGCTAAGCCCTGCCGTGTTAGTGTGCTACGCACCAGGGTCAGTGACCTAGGCGGGTCCTAGAGGTCTCGTCGACGTCGTACCAGGCCTGCCTTTGAGAAGGTCTCAATTTCTCCGGCCTTATGCGGGCATCTGACATTGGTTGTGGCCTCCCATGGCTCGCCACATGGTGCGGGGGTTTTTGGTTGTTCGGTCCGCCCTTGGGCATATAAATATAGGCCTTCCTTCCGTTTGAACCACTCATGGCCATAACTGCAAGTCCTCCTAGATTTCCCTAAAAGGCTAGATGTTGAGGGTGAAGGAACGAGAGAGAGGGAAGTTTGAGGAGAACCGCGTGGTTCCTATTATGCGTCCCACTAGGGGTCGCCTGTGATGGCCGGAGCCAATGTCGCCCCTTCCAACAACTAGTGCTAGAAGGGGATTTGTGAGCAGGAGAGGCCCGAGGAGGTGCTCAGACCTTTTTTTAGGCTCAGTGGTTTCAGCAGCCCACATACCCATTAGGTCTTGGGTCACTGAAACACTAGTCCCAGTGGCCACTATCAGCTTCTTTGGAAAATCGTGGGTGCCTCGTCGTTCCCCTCTTGTTTTCGAGGAGCTATGGTGGCAGTCTCTGAGACTTCTGACCCTACCCTCTTCTGCGTGTTCTGGACCAGAGGTGCGGAGCGGAGGCCTCTTGTCACCCTTTTCGTTCGTGGTGCTCACCTCTGGTCATTTTTGTGGTATCACCTTTGAGGTGATACCTGCTCTTGACACCTTGTGGGTGGCGCGTCCGCTCTTGTATTCGAAGGTGCCAATCTAGGAGAGGTTTCCCCCAAGTTTTAGGCTTCCCCTGTGGTGTTGGCGAGCCCCCGAGCCTTGAGGCCGAGGTCACGGTTTTGTTTTGGGTTGCCAGAAGGGCCGGTTTGGCCTAATAATGCAAGGAATTTTCTCCCCGACCTCTGTTTGCGCGATCACAAGGTTTTCTACGACTGTGCATTGGCTCGTAGGTCTTGCGCCTTTTGTTTCTCTCACATGACCAAGCCATGATCATGCTTTGGGCTCCACATTGCGCGTCACCCCAACCATTTGCTTCATCAATCTCTCCTAGAGAGGTCACAGACTTGTAACAGTTTATGAGTCTCTAGAGCTAACCTTAGGTCCGAGACCTAGGACACGGGGAGGAGTTAGTCGGGGCTTGACCCTTTCTCTTTTTGAGATCATGGGGGTCCCCAACTCCATTTTCCCTAACGTCCTTGCCAACCTCGAGAGGTCGTGCTGCCTTGTTAAAGGCGGGTTTGGTTTCACCCCACGCGAGGAGAGGCATGTCTACCGTAACCACGCGGTCGGAGCGGTGCGCCTCGTCAGGGTTGATGGGTAATTCGAGCGGGACCAGATATCCTCCCTAATTAACATGGAGTTTGGCTGTGCCTCATCGAGAGACGTCCCATAAATCATTGGTTGTCAATCCCCAACCGCCTCCACAGCAGCTAGAGGGCAACATGCCTCCCCCCAGAGGGGGTCAACCCAGAATACTTTGAAGCGAATGACTTGAACACAGGGAGAGATGGTCATGTGGCTCCACACCAACGATTAGAGCTGTGGGGGCTCATCTCCTCCCTGCCCCTATCCCTTTTGTGGCCTCGAGTCCTCTTAAAGACCAGTGTCGCGGGGTCAAAACTGTGGCAAGCATGTTGTTCGAGTTGGTTTCAGAGTACGGTGTCTCCGGTGGCTTGGGTGGACTCAGGAACACAAGAATCACGCAGAGAAGATGCAACGGTTTATCCTGGTTTAGGCCAATTCGGTCCCTACGTCTAGCAGCTGATGATCCTTATACCCAAGAGCACCTAAAATCTAGGGGGTTACAACACAGTGTAAAGGAAGAAAGTTTGGTAGGGAGGTTAGCTCGATGCTAATCCTAAGGTTGCCTCACCGCCAGTCGAGTCTCCCCCTCATCGGAGAGGAAGGAGATAGCGGGATGTAGTGGAGGAGGGGCTCTCGATGCCCCTCTCTGCATTGCCTTGCTCTCGGTGCAGAGCGGAGGCATTTGGAAAGGAATAGAGTGTCTGGTGATCGAACTGGGATCCTCTCCCCTCCTAGATCCGACCTTATCCCTTATATAACGAGATAGGTTGGATACATGGCGATTTGAGGTTTCAGTCTATGGTCTACATGTGCTGAAGTCCAGGAGGGCCTTGTAGTGGTGCGCCGTGGACCGTCAAGGTGCCTTGGAGACCAAGAAGCGTGGGCATCATCCGGCTGCTCTGTTCTGACACTCTACGTGTCAGGCGGTGTTGGCTTGGACCAGCCTCCCCTAGGTGAGGCCTTGTGGAGTCTTCTTGGTGGCGAAGGAGGTCGGCTCTAGGGGCTAACGTGTGGGCTCGGAAGCCCCTGAGCCCCTGAAGGCCGTGGGAAGCTTTGTTTTCTTGTGTCACGCCCCGAACATGACTGTTGGTATATTTTAACGCACACAGATTAATCCACAAACGCACGGATACCTTTGTAGCTTTCACCCAGAGGTATTCCAAGTATCGTATCCATAGGGAAATATGTGAGACTAACTATGGTCTAACTTAACTAGGGGTAGCAACAAGGCTTAAGATAATAGGAGTATAGAGGAGATCACAAAGGTCTTCTAGTTCTAACTTCGATAAGCTATGTCTTCTATTGTTCAACTGGGGATATTACTA